GGTGATGAATCCGCGCTTGCATTATGGCAAAGGTTTAAAAATCTTAGTATAGAAAGGTACAGAGATACTTATGCTCGTCTCAACGTTGAGTTTGATGTTTATTCTGGCGAATCACAAATTAGTAATGAGAGTATGTCACATGCGTTGAAAATGCTTAAGGAGAAGAATATTGCTACGGAATCAAAGGGTGCAATAATTGTAGATTTAAACGAACATAAATTAGATGTAGCAATGATTCAAAAAAATGATGGCACAACTTTATATATTACTAGAGACATTGGTGCTGCCATGGAACGATATGAAAAGTACAAATTTGATGCCATGTATTATGTCGTGGCATCTCAACAAGACTTACACTTTAAACAACTTTTTAAAATATTAGAATTAATGGGCTTCGAATGGGTTGATCGTTGTAAGCATATAAATTTTGGTTTGGTTAATGGAATGAGCACACGCAAAGGAACAGCGGTTTTCTTAGATGACATCCTTGATCAAACCAAAGAAAGCATGCATGAGGTGATGAGGCAGAATGAGAAGAAATATGCACAGATCGATAATCCTGAATATGTTGCAGATGTAATTGGTATTTCTGCTATAATGATTCAGGATATGTCTGCAAAAAGGTAATTTAAATAAAAGATTATATTGCAGTTAAAATTATATGCTAACATGTCAATTCATAGGATTCGAAATTATACGTTTAATTGGACTCGAATGTTTTCCTTTGAAGGTAAGATGTAAAAATATATTATGAACCATATTATTAATTAATCACATTGATTAAATTGTGCAGGTGATACTGGTCCATATTTACAATACGCCCACGCCCGTCTTTGCTCAATCGAACGTAATTGTAATTTTGAACTCAATCCGGAAATAGATTTTTCCCTTTTGAAAGAAAAACCCGCGATTGAGCTCATTGACATGATTGCTCAGTACCCTGATGTCGTTAAGAATGCTTTACAAACTCTGGAACCTTGTACTATTGTAACATATGCAATGAAATTAAGTCATCATGTATCTGTAACATTAGAAACTCTATGGGTTATGGGAGCAGAACGTCAATTGGCAGAGGCGAGGTTGTTTATGTATTGGGCTACTAGAATAACGTTAGGAAATGCACTCAGGTTATTAGGTCTCAAGCCTTTGGAAAGAATGTGAACCATTTCCAAACAAATGAAATGTAATATTCTTAACATTTTTTTATAAAAATAAACCGTTTTCGGTTGATTATGCCATCTGTCTTTGACGATGTTTAGAACATGTATTAATTTTTGAATGGATCAATATTAGATCCAATTATTTGGTTTGGACTTGAACCTATAAATTTAATGTTGGACTCTTATTGGACGAAATGATTACATCAAACCTTCGAATGAAATTAAAACAATTAAATATGGCATGCATTTAAATAAGTTAAGTTTGGGTAGAACAAATTATACCAAAATTTTGCAAGGAACATTTTTTTAGGACACGAAAGGTAGTTTCATAAGCATAATTTCAGGTAACTGGAATCTTTTTTTTTACATCATAATTTGATTGGTAGGCGAAGAATGATGTAATCTATCTTGTCCAATCAAGGGGAAAAAATCAACTATCTATACGTGTAACGGAAGTCTGGGCTGAAAAAAATCTTTGTTATATGGCTTATTTATTGTTAATCCGTTATGCCTGTATATAACCATTATAAATTATTTATATATATATTAAAAATTCGGTTTTTTTACAATTTGTTCGTTAAACTGGTGAATCCGGTTTTTGATTTTTGATCCGAAATTTATCCGTTCTAAGCAACGCATTGACTTGTGATTTACTGGATTGGGGCAGGAGACTATTATTTGTGGCGTGTCTCTAGAAAGATTCAAAAACCAGATTTGTTAAGCAATTTAAAATTTATATAGCTATACCCGATACATATAAATTTTATGTATATGTGTTTGTTTCAACTTCAACCTAATGCATATGTTGCATCTAAAGTAGTGATTTATCTAAAGTGCGCCTGGCCCCTGAAATTAGATCTTCATGCATGCATTAAGTTATAATTTTAGCCAGGGCGCTACTTTAAATATATAAAGTAGGTACTTTAGATAAATCGCTACTTCAGATGCGACATATATACGTATAAAAAATAACTAATATACAACATCAGTCTAATTACAAATACAGTGCATGATCACTAATCAGAGTACTGCAAATCGACGTTAATTTAATAGTAAAAACATACAAAGCTCAAGCTATAATTACTCTTGAACCTGCAAACCCACACAAATAAGATCGTATTTATCAGGTTCGTTATAATGTGCTCTTTAATGTAACAACGCTTTTTTTTTAATGTTCTTTTTATTGCGAGCAGGGAACTAAAGTGATACCAAAATTCTTGTTTTTGATGTATATTTATTTATTTATTTTAATATTAATGGCGTTGATGTATATTTAATAAAAATATCAAAAGCATAACTATTGTATATTGTGTTACAAAATGCAGAAAATTCAATTAAAAATACATCAAAAACAAGAATTTTGGTATCATTTTAATTTCCTGTTACACACCAGACACAATTTTGTTTGTGTAGGTTTGCATATTCAAGAGTAATTACAGCTTAAGTTTTATATGTTTTTATTGTTAAATTAATATCAATCTGCAGTACTTTATAAAAAATTTTAGTAATTATTATTATGAGTTATCATTAATAGAAATTAAAATTTACATTTTTTATTTTTTATTTATTTATTTTTTTTTAACATTAGAATAATTTTTTTTGGTTTTTGATTTATTAATACTTTTTTGAAGCATAATGTTTACATAAGTATAGGTATTATAGCATATTATCAATTATGGCGCAGTTGTAATATTTTAGAACTTATTAATCAAAATTGCATAATTTTAGTACTATTTGATTTGTTTTAATAAAATAAATTAATTGGTAGTAAAATTATTCAAATTTTATTATTGAATTATAAGATATTGTTAATAAATTACAATATTTTATTTTATTTTATTTTATTTATTTTTTAAATATTAATAATAAGGTCATCTTCATTTTATTTATTTAATTTTGTATTATATCTATTTGTTATTAATTTGTAATTCTGTAATCAAAATTAAATGATTTTGGTATCATTTAATTTGTTTTATTAAAATAAATTAATTAATATAAAAACTGTTCAATTTGAATTAATAGATTATTGTTTTTTTTTAAAGTTACTTCTTTGATTTTTTAACTTTATTAATAACTTTTTTGATAAATATAATTTTATAAACTACTATAAGAAGAGTGTACAATTGGTTATTTGTATAACTTTTTTATATTACCTATTTAAAAAGTTTATCTAAAAATTTTTTATCAATTGTTATACTTAATATTCTTGCTTGAGTGTTCTATTTTATTACTGAGTTATACTTAGATTATTGTCTCAATCTTAGAACTATTTTATCTTTAAAGTAAACTTCTCAGAACTTTTTATACTTATTTTTATAGTTGACTCAATATTATTATAACAGAACCAATATTTATAATTAGAATTATTTATTTAATTACTATGTTCTTATAGAGTTTACTTAAAGTTTAAAATTTACTTTATAGCATATTTCTAGTATTTTAGTATACTTTTATCTGTTTTTAGATTTTTAGTTCAAATATCTATTATAAGATTATATTCAGTCTATTAGTATATTGAATTAGTCTAATATTCTTTTCTTTTAATTTATTTTAATAGTTTGGTTGATAATACTTTCTACTCAGAGGTTCTGAACATTTTAATATTAGTATCTATTTTTAGTAGTCTTAACTTTATAATAATATTATTAAAACTCTATATTATTTCTTAAATCTTTTTAAATAAACTTTTTGTTTTTTAATTTTAACAAATTTATACAATTATAAGAACTTATTTAGAGTTTATATTACTTAATGTTAGTTTAAATTTCTTTTTATAACTAGTTATATAAATATATTATAATTTGCTAGCCATATTACAGAAAGGGTAAAAGAGATCTTTAAGATTATTTAATTAGTAAAAACAGATATATATAGTAAAGTTTTGAGTAAAAGTTTTAGAAATAAAGAGATCAATATCAGCATTAAAGTAAAAGTGGTATTGTTAAAGTTTGTAAGTTGTGGAATAGATAATCTGATATTGTTATTTCTTATAAATTAAATTATAGCTTAGTCAAATATAAATATAATTACATATGATATAATTATATAAGAGATAATTATATAGAAGAACAACTATAGTAGTAAAATTATTTATATATAATTATTGGATTTTAAAATATTGCTAGTATATTACAATATTTTTATTATTTTTATTATTATTTTTTTTTTTAATTTTGATAACAATGCCAGTTGGTTTTATTAGCTTTAATTTAATATAGTACAAATTTTATGATTACATTTTAAGATCAATTATTACTAGTACTATATACTATCTAATTTCATACTACTGACTTCACATTACTAACTTCATCTGATTATTCTTTTTGGTATCTAAGTGCATGTTTGCTGTAGGGATGTTAAACTGTCGATCTGGTCCAACCGATCCCAGAACCTAAAAGGATCATTCTAGACTTAAATCTTACTAATCAATTCCAGGATCGGATCTTCTGAATTTTAATACTCTAAATAAGTCTATCCAATAAAATTTTTGACCTTTTGTTTTTATATTTTGAACCATTAAAACTTTATTTATTTAAAAATCTAATCTATCTAATGATCCAAAAAATTTCAAATCAAAATTCATATATGAATAACCATATAAAAGAATATACAAAAAACAATGTGGTAAAAAAACTTTGCTGTATAAACTGAAAAATAACATCAATAAAATTTCTAATATAAAATCAAAAAAAAAGTAAAAAAACTTTAAATACAACTAGGAATTGTTTCAAACTGGAATAATGACAATACAACCAATAACTACTAAACTATAAAATCTTTTTTTTTGCTTTTTTTTTTTGTTTTATTTTTTTTTGTTTATTTTAATAGCATTTCACTATATCAGTTTTTAAGGCATAATGATGCATGTGCTGTTTCAGCGTCAATATGATTGCGAGTAAAAGAAATAATATGTTTGGCTACAGAAAATGCCTGTTCAGAAGACACACTGGTTGATTGAATTGTAAGATAATCCATTGCAATTTTAGATAATGTAGGATACTGATTTGAATTCATTTTCCATCATAGGAGTGGTTTTACTTCAGTATCTGGCTCTTCTAAATATTTTATAATTTCATTAGGATCTGAATAGACTATATGGTTTGTGATAAGACCACAAAAGAAATTTCGAGCTGTTTTAGTAGTAGTTATCTCAGATGGTAAAGGCTTATTTTTTTCATCTGATTTATACTTTTCAAACACTTGATGAAGCATATTAATTGCAGTTTCACGATCCTCAAATTCATATATTGCAAGCTTGTTATAAGGATCAAGAAGGCCTGAAATTATTGACGACCTATTTATAGAAATATGTAGTTGTGTAAGTTATATATGCAGTACGTATACAAAACTTGAATATATATGTAACACAGCCCTATCTGTTTAGATGACACCAATATGATTCAAGCTTAGTTTTTATTATGTTGGACACTGCAGATTGAGTAGTAAGTTCTGAATTTGTATAATTGGTTAGATGCCTAATAAGACCTTGGAATATTATACATAGATTGCCTTAAGTAAGAAATTTTGAAAAGGATAGCATTACGGTTGCATGATATATAGGCTCAAGAATAATTATTAGGTCTTGTAGTTTATATTTATTAATATAAATATACATATTTATATATTTATAAATGATGTTTTAAAAATTACTAACCCAAACATTTTTCTACTCTTGCACCATAGGATAACTTTGGTCTAATGTTTTGTTACTTGCAACAAGAATATCTGTTATGGGACAGAGTTTTTGAAGTTTTTCTAGCAAGAGATACAAGCTATTCCAACAAGTTTCTATATCAGCTTCAGGCATTAAAAAGAAAACATTTTTCATTTTACAAATTTTTTTTAGTTCTTGAAGTAATGAAAACGAATTTCAAAGTTTTAAAAAAAATTCTCGTGCTTTCTGAATTTCTTTGCTAACTTTTTTAATTTCTTCTTCTACGCCAAGATTTAGAATATGTGCACCACAACGAAAATGTTGCACACCATTATTATTAAACTCAGAAAGCATTTTCTCTTGCAAAATTCTTTCTATAGAGCATATATTGGCCACATTATCTGTAATAATATCCAAAAGTTTCTTGCCAATATCTATTTTCTTTAAAATCCTAATAATTAGGTTAGCTTAGTTTATTACAGTATGATTTTCATTGAATAGTACAATATTAAGTAAGATTCAGTATAATTCCTATGTAGAATTTATCCAATGTACTGTTATACCGATAAATAGTTGCTTGGTACAAGACATCCATCTGTCTATTGTAATTGAAAGTTTCGAAGAAGCCTGATTTAAAATGATTTTAATTGTATCTTTATGTAGTTCATATTCTTTGTTGATCCAAGTTGAAAGTGTTTGATGACATAAAAGCCTGTAACATGGATCAAGTTCTCAAATAAAATTTATGAAACTTGCATTTTCAACTAACAAAAAAGATTGTTGATCAATTACTATTTATTCTAATAAATGCTTGTTTAAAGCATCAACTCTTAATCTATCATTTGGGTCATACAGATTAAGTTGCTTAAATTTGCATTGCTTTATTGTAGAATAATATGTGGGATGGAATCTTTCAAAATGCCTATTTATTGTTGTAAGTGCTGTCGACTTGCCGAAGATTTGGTTACATACTTCACATCGATTGCTCCCATTAGAGGTTGGTAACAAGTAGTCTCTAATTGGTGATCGATTGCTTTGTGACATATATCTTCGCCTTTGACCTTTTACATTATTCAATAAAAACATAGTTTCAGGCATGGTTTCGGGCATAATTTCAGGCATGGTTTCAGGCATGGTTTCGGGTATAGTTTCGGGTATAGTTTCAGGCATGGTTTCTGTACTAGGTTCAGATTCGATTTCTACAGTCTCCATGATGTTTTTTTTTTATAGTTTTTTTTTTGATTTTTTTGTTTAAAAATGTTACTTTTAAATAAATTTCAAATGAAACAAGTATTAACTTTTTAAAGATATGTCATCTTTGTTATGAAGTTTTGAATTGAAGAAAAGACATATAGCCTTTATTATTAGGATTTGAACTGGCATATTATTGACTTTGTTGTTTAATCATACAATCATTTTTATTAATTGTCAATTCTATTTTACATTTATTGTAAAGATTGGAATTAGAAAAAACCATCTTTGGGTTCTAACTATATAAATGATAAATCCCATACTGTGTCTTTTTGTAAAGATTAAATTAAAAAAAACTTTTCACTTTTATTATTAGTTGAGTTATAAAAGGTTTAACATTGAAAATACAATTGCTTTATTAAATATTTAAATCAGATAAGTTCAATGATTTGAAGACATACTGCCTTTATTGTGAAGATTTGAGTTTCATTATTAAGATTCAGCTTTAAAAAACATAATATTATTATTAAACATTTATGCAAAAAAAAAATTTTAAAGGCAAATCTTATTAAATTTGAAGACATGCCGTCTTATTGAAAGGATTTTTAAGAAAAAGCTCATGATTAAAGATTTATTCGAAGTATACTACCTTTTTATAATAATTTAAAGTGAGACATTTATTCATTATTTTATTATTTTAACAAGCTATTTATTCATTATTTAATTATTTTATCATTAAGAGATTAATGCTAACCAAAATGTTGTTAAACCAGATCCCAGGATTTATAAAGGGATTATGATTCAGGATCAGAGTCTTATGAAAAAATCACATTATACCATGTGATTGAAGGATCGAATCCTGACCAATCCCTTAAAGAATCAGGTAGGACCTGATCCCAAAGTACTGATTAACATCCCTAGTTTGCTACATATCTGTATACAGTTATCTTGACAATCACTTGCAATCAAAGTATATCTTGAACTATTACACAAACAAGAATATTTACTAAACTTAATATAATATCACAAATACTAGAAGTACTGTCTTCTGCAAATTATACCTATGTGTTCTACATTGTTAACCTACAAAAACGATCATAACTCTTGAACCACTGGACAGAATTCGATGAAACCACCACCATTCGAATCAG